TTCTGTTCTTCATGACTCTGTTTTTCTGCTTAGCAATCAGTGGTTTTATAGTTGGATATGTCTACTTTACTGAGGTAATCATATATTCCTCATCCTTAATGAGCTTCAATCTTTAAATAGTATATTGAATAAAGGGTAGTTTTATAAGAATGGAAGCATGGCTAAAGAAGCAGTGGCTGATCCAGGTGTAAAAAAACAGGAGTCAGATACAGGGATTTGTTGCTGCACCCGTTTTTAATCTGCATTCAAAGACAGTCGCATTCAAACAAACAGCACTCATGTATTAAAGCAAAGAAGTTATGAAATATCCCTTTTATATTTTCAGGCCTCTGGATGCTCTCTGAACAAGTTCTTCATAAGTTTTAATCTGATTCTCTGCATTGTGATCTCCGTCATTTCGATTTTTCCAAAAGTACAAGAAGGTAAAATTAAGAATTGCAACTTACTCTAGTCAATCTTTCAGCTCTTCACACCTATTTTTTTACCATTCACTGGCCCTGTCTATTCAACGCTCTTGGGCTTACTGTTCCTATTGACTTACCTATTGATCCTTTTCAATTATTCCCATGAGATGCAAAACAATAGATACAGAAGGGAAATCCTTTCTTAAAGTTTCTCCAAGATGGCCGCTGTGACGTAACTTAAAAAGCGAAGAATTTCCCAGTACAAACCACTTGAATCAATCAAATATAAAGAGATCATTTGGTAATTGTATTTTCCAATGGTTTGTAGTTCAGCCCAAGTCTGGTTTGCTACAAGCATCAATCATTTCTCTGTACACAAGTTACCTGACGTTATCAGCACTTGCCAGTGAGCCTACTACAGCAGGTGTGTATGTTATATCTTGTCCTTGCAAGTTTTTTGACTTGGATAGCCTATTTCTGGACTGCTGTACCTGTTGCTGTCTTCTCTTGGCAGAACTTTGACTATGTCGGCGACCATTATTCCTTGTTGACAATCATTTTGCACAGAGAGAACAAAATTATCACTAAATAAATTTTGACTCAAAGATATACAGTATAAAATTGCAATATTGTGAATTGTCGTAAAAAGACAATCGGACAGATTTGTGTAGTACGCAGACTGATTTAGACCAAGTATGCATAGATCAATGTATGAAATTATTTTATTACACTGAGACTGACAGACAGAAAGATAAGCATACAAACAGACTGTGAGACAGACCAACAGTGAGTAAATCAACGAAATAGAATTAGCTTTACTAAAGCATCCTAGGTAGGTTAGCAAGGTAGCTAGTAAGTTATCTGCTATTTTCCTGGCTCACTCAAACTCAAGTGCCAGTTGAAAGAGTGTTAAAACGACGAAGCATGCTTATTAGGCACTTGTAATGGAATATTCGCAGCACATTAACCTGGAATATTTATTTATTTCATTGTAGTCGTTGTTGGTAATAAAACTATCAATACTGTATGTGGAGATGCCGAGGGACTCAATATCTCTGGAACTGGTGTTGAAGGGTCAGAAGTGACT